AACAGCATACCAAGTTTCATTGGAAATCTATTGCAGGTTCTTTTACTAGGGAATCACCTGAAGACTCAAGATCCCCTCCGAGTTTCAAAAACTAAGACCTAAGATTCCCCTCTAAACTTACAAAAGTAGGACCTAGGTACCCCTCCAAATGTTAAAAACTAAGACCTAAGATCCCCTACAAGTCTTAAGGACCAAGACCTAAGATCCCCCCTGAATCCCAAAAAACTAAGACCTTAAGTCCCCTACAAATTTCAAAAAGTAAAACGTAAGATCCCCTCCAAGTTTCAAGACTTAACATGCCCTCCAAATTTTAAAGCTAAGACCTAAGATCCTCTCTGAACTTTCAAAACTAGGACCTACGTACCCATCCAAATTTTAAAAATTAAGCTCTAAGATCCCTTCCAAATTTCAAAAGCTAAGACCTAAAATCCCCTCCAAATCTCAAAAACTAAGACCAAAGATCCCCTTCAAATTTCAAAAGCTAAGACCTAAGATCCCCTCCAAATTTCAAAAATTAAGACCTAAGATCCCCTCCAAATCCCAAACACTAAGAACTAAGATCCTCTCCAAATTTCAAACACTAAGACTCAAAATCCCCTCCAAATTTCAAAAACTAAGATCTAAGATACCCTCCAAATCTTAAGGACTAAGACCTAAGATCCTCCCCCCCCCTCCCCCAAACCCCAAATACTAAGACCTAAAGTCCCCTCCAAACTTCAAAATGTAAGACTTAAGATCCCCTCCAAGTTTCAAAAGCTAAGACCTAAGATCCCCTCCAAATTCTTAGAAACAGTTATCCTGCCCTCAATCAACAAATCAGTTGATCAGCCTGTCAGTCAGTCCATCAGTCAGGAACTGTCCATTCAATTAGTCAGTCAATGAAGTTAATCATTTGATCAGATTATTGGTCATTCTGTCCATCAGCAAATCATTCAATTTATTAGCAAGTCATGCCAATCAAACACTTAGTCAGTAAATCAGTCTGTCTGTCATTGAATCAAATAAATTAGTCAGTTAATCAGTCAGTCAGTCAATTAATCTGTTACATGCAATGAGCTTGAAAGTATGTTAATCAGTCAACCAATCATCTAATCATATGCCATTCAAATAGTTAACTTAAGGTTAATCAATTGATTAGCCTGTTAATCACCCCCTGGTTTTAAAGAATCACTTGTAGCGTAAATCCTTAATTACACTCACATTTGTATGATTACCTACACTAATCAGCAGTACAAGTTGTAAATCACTTTGCTTCCCTGGATATTATATTGCTACATCCTAATTACAAGGTTTTGATCTTCTTGGTTCCCTCTTCACACATCTGGAAAACACATTTTAAGCCCCTCTTAAGTTTCCATTGACCTCAAAATACTAAAACATTTTTCTAACCAGCTGCAACAGTATTGAGAATTCTATTTTGTAAAGCAAGCAAATATATCTTCAATGTTTCCTGAACTGTGTGAAATTCCATTTCAGAGAGTTTACACTGACAGAATCATACTACACAGGTACAATTATTTTCTTTCAAGTTGTAAAAGGGTAACCACAATTGAAAATTTGTCATTTGGACATGCAACTTGGAAACCTTTACAGCAGTCAAAAACATCTTCCAATACATCATTTAAAATAGCAGACCTATGCAGCAAAACATAATTTCCCATGAACAAAGTAGCCTATCATACTACTTAACATCAAACAAATTGGAAGGCTTTTTCCCCAGGGGGAAATCCCATATGAAAAGGCCAGGGATGCTTGTTGGAAAATTTAAATTAAACCCTTAAAGGAGACCAATCTGGGCGTGGCTAGAGCTCTATTTGACCCATAAAAGATATCAATTAAAAAAGAAAAAGCTCGATTACAAGATGCTGTTCAGGAAAGAGGCCTAGGCTAGTAGACCACACTCAAGAGACCGGTGGAAATCAAGCTTAAAAATAGAAATAGGAGTGTTTTAATGATCATTATTTCTTCGAGTGCACCTTAAAGTAAAAGATACTTTGACAGCTAAATAGCGATATTTTGTCATGGACACCCTAAGTGAGACCAGAATCATTGATTTATAACCATGAGTGAGATGAGGAACATCCTGACCTTTTCATATAGAAGTCCCCCCCCCAAGGAGGGGGGGTTGCATGCGAGATGGATATTTCCAAAATTCATTTTCTTTACCACTGATACAGATACTACATTAACTTGGTATGCCCAGACAGGGAATGGGGAGGAATTTTGATGTCCCTAATTGAACGATAAATTACTTGTACTTTTTTTTTCTTGCATTGATTTTAGTCCACATAGTAATGGGAAGTGTGTTGGTAAAGGTCTGGGTTAAGGCTGTAAAAACTCAAATTTTTGTTTAGGCATAAAAAAAATTGATCTTTATAGGCAAGAGATCAAAGTCTTTAACACAAACACACGAGAGTCACATCTTAGGAGTGGGGCATCCCATTTTTTAGTTACAACCCTGCCCCCCCTCCCATGGAGGGATTTCATTAGTGGTCAGCATAGATTTTTGGTGTCAGCACCTTTGAAGTTTGCATCTGAGGGGTATAAAATTATTTTGGCTCTTTTGACAATTTTCCTACAGGCCCTTTGTCAGAGGGTACCCTCAATAGGAGGGGGTGTGCAGATAAAAACAAATGGATTGTCCCAGTGACTCAAGTAAGAGTTGACAGGAATAACAACATTTAACATACGACAGTCATATTTATACCTTGTCTAGCAGTTGTTACATCAAGCTGAAATAAAGAGCAATTATATTATAAGATTAAATTTATCCTATGAGCTTTGTAAAGGTAATTTTACGAGCTAAGCTTACCACTGTTCAGGGGTTGTCTTCAGAGGTCAACAAAACGCCTCTCAGTACCTCATTCCCCCTTGTGGCTCCGACCTACGAGCAAAGCAAGTTAACTAATGTTTCACAACAGGTAACATTACTGGTTCAAGTCGTTTTTAGACAGAGAACAAACCTTTGAAGGTCGGCAATCTCCATTTTCTACTGTTTTTCTTGCACGCGTGTTGTAAAATGGCCAAGGGAAACTACACTCGCAAAGACCAGTGGGAAAACCGTGGTAAGGCGGCAGGGGAGGGGAGAGAGGGGACAGACCTAGTAACAGTAAGGAGGTTAAAAAAGACTGAAAAATACGTCTTGATTGTTGCTTGGGATTGAGCTCTCTGGCGCACAGATTACTATTTTTGCATCTTTTAATAATTTGTTTAGAAACTACAAGCGAGTTCAAACATTATTTTCGAAAATATTTTTTTGCTCTAAATGGAATGGAATGTCCACAAAAGGTATCACTGAGACTCCCCCCGAGAGTATTTTATCTTTGTCAGAATATCCCAAGCCGTTATAAATGACGATTATGAGTAACNGGGGGGGGGGTGGAAACTATCCTGCAAGACAGATTCCCGTCTCTTTCTGCTCAGTGAGCAGAAAGAAGAGAAGGGAGCATACAACAAAGAACTAGTGAGACAATCTCAGATAGTGCAGAGCGCAATTGATAGCTCTGGTACAGTAGTCCCATAAG